TTTGCGCTCAAAATGTTGCTATGATATGTTTTTCTTTCTAGAAAGTTTTATCTTTCTTCTATAAAAGGTTTTGAAAACAAAACAAAAAAATTTTGTATGAAATAGAAATATAGTTTAGAGTTTTAAATGTCCTTTGATAAGTTTAATCAAAAATCAAGATTAATTGTTGAAGATATAATTTAAAGTAAAATTGTTCTTTTTTTTTTTGATAATTATTCACATGTATATTATTAAGATATATTATTGACTTTTTAGGCATCTGTTTGCTTGGATGAAATATGTCTACATGTGAAGCATTTATTGTCATTAGAATTATGCAAATTTCACAGAATAACTGAGTCAGTTCATAATGGTAAAGCAAGAGAAAGAGATTATGCTGATAAGATTTATTTTCCGAGTCTTCTGCTGTTCTCTTTTATTTATCTGCTATTATTGTGCACCCTGCGGGAAAGCATTTTCTGATGTATATTTATCAGGTTAAACACTGTGATGGTGTCACCTCTTTGCTTGAAGGCTGCCGCTGTTGTACATCAGTTACCCAGCTAATGAGCAGCGCTACACAAGACAAGCCTTATCATAGATTTATGATGGGAATCTTAAGTATATTCCTATGCCACACAACCCCTGCAGTTTACTAATGTTTATTTACCAGTGGGAGCCTGTTAGATTCTCAGATAGCAACAGATGCGTTGGGCTTGTCAATGTGCTGGTTCTCTTTCTGAATGCCAGACCGACAGCAAAAGGCTGACCTTTCTGCAATATTCTGTTGTTTCCTCTTCCAGCTGGGTGCCCATGAAGAGTTTTTGTTTGATCTTCAGACTAGAATGATGTTGTTCAGTCTGATATTTACAGAATCATTACCCAAGTGCAATCTAAAAAAGAATTCTTTATTGAGCTGTAGGTTACAAATCTGAATGCATCTTTTACATCGTATGTCTTGATTCTGAGTGTAAGGTCATGCCTAAAGTTTTTATTCTAAAAAAAATGAAAAGATGTTTACATGCTCCATGGGTATTGGAATCCTACAGTGAAGTTAGAGAACTTGAGAACTTGCAGACATAATGTGCAATAAACAAAGCGGCAACCTCCCAGTCAACCAATACAGAAGTGACTAAAACTGCAATACATTGAATGGCCACTTGAGACTTGCTCCAAAAAGGAGTAAAGCCCATATACCAGTGGTTCTGAAAGTGAGGGTCGCACGAGGAGGGGTGACTTGGGGATTTGTATAAATCAAATAAACTTACTAGAATTAAAATATTTTGGCTATAACAAAAAATAAAAATATAGTTAATAATTACATTAAAACAAATTAACAACATGCAAATAAAATACCACCAGCCATTATTTTTCATATTTTACATTGGATTCATGACACAACAATGACGTGAGCTGCAGTAGATACATTTTATGGCATCATGTTAAATTTTCCAACAACTTTTTGGTGTTTGCATAAATTCAAAATAAATACATTTTACGACTGTGGAGCATGAATGTGGAGGATGACCTCCAAGTGATGGTCTCTAAAATTAAAGCAAGAAAGGACTTACTGTGCTCCACACTCAATTTTTTTTTTTTTTTTGGTTCATTCAAACTACTTATTTAAAATGAGCTGAAACAACACAATTCTTAAGATTTCTTTAATTAATTTGTTTAGGGACAACATGAATGAATTGTGTGGAACCCCGTATTTTTCACAGTGTAGGTAAAATACATTTTGAAATTAAACAAATGAATAAATGACTTAAAAAAATTATATATATATATATATATATATTTTATTTTTTATTTTATTTATTTTTTTTTTTTTTTTGGTCAATATACGTATGTTCATATAGGTTTATTGGTTTGTGTACGCCATTGCACACAATTGCTAGCATTGTTAATCTGGAGATCATGGACTAAAAAGTTTGAGATCTTCTTCCATAGACCATGTTAAAATGTGTACATATGTGTAATGCTTCGTACGAAAAGTTTTACCCTTCAGTACAACTGTGAGGGGTTGATTTTTTATGACTCATTGGTTTAATATATTATTTTAATATATTGGTTTAACAAATTATAATATATTATTTAATGTATTAAGCTTCTAAATATATATTAAGCTTTAACATTCTGCATAGTTAAGGGAGTGGCCACTTGAGTGACAGGTATCTGGCTATCACATTGCCTCAGCTAATTCCAGGTGCTGAATTTGACATATATTTTCTGTATGTCATGTATTTTGCTCATATGGCTTTAGTCTATAGCTTTTTTGTGGATTACTTCTTACAATTATCAAATAATATGGCATGTTTTGCAGTTAATTGTGCTCACAAATCAATCGAGTCTGTCCTTCATTTTCCAGTGAAAAATATACAGTAATTTTATTTATATGGAATTAATTAGTTTGAAATAAAACTTTAATGCACTCCAAAATCTGACTGATTGATTAGCTTTAGATTATAAAACATCTGAACATGTCATCCAAAAATTGCCTGCTATTCATTATTAGCCTATAGCATTAAGTATTTGAAAATAATTAGCGTGTGAAAAAACATAAGTGTAACATGATTTAATACAGTGTTTTTTAAAGTAACCAAACTTAAACAACTAACTATTAATAAAGCATTCAACCAATCACATGGCCAGAACTTGAACAAGTCATGTTTATTGATATTGCAATAGTTTCACCCAAAATAAAAACAATAGATGCAGTTTACAGCCTGATCAATGAATGCAGGGACTGGAAGGCGGCTCCCAGAAGAAGCTTCTGGTAAATATTTGCATTCACTTTGCTGTGTATCTGTGTAAGAGGCCAAACTCCTTCTGCAGAAAACATCACTCAAACCATGACACTTCACCTCCAACTTTCACTGACTTTATTATACACTTTAGTTTCAGGCTTTGTAAGTTTGACAATAAACATGATGTATCCCATGAGACCCAAATAAATTAAAATAGTTTTTCCTAAAGTGAGCTTTTGACAAGTTCAACATCCACACAACATTCTCCTCAGCAAAGGTCAGTCTGGCCTTTTGATTCTTTCTGCTGATGAAAAATTCTGACAACGAATGCTCTTAAATTTAGAGTCACTGTATGCTGAAACAGATCCTTACACTGTTCAAAGCTGAACTGGCAGGCAATTTCACCTGCAGTGTTGAACTGTTTGCCTTCAAAGATTCTTTATGTTATTGTGTCCTCTTCTACATTTGTATTTCGACCAGCCTTTCTGAGGGGCTTGAATGAGTTTGGGATGACCAACTTCTCTTGCTATTGCCGAAAAGTTTATCTCTATAACTTTCATCTGTCTGAGGGTTTAAAGTCACTGTAGAACTGTTTGTAAACTTAGTGAAACCAGCAAAGTTAGGCTACTATTTAAACATGGTTTGTGAAAATAATAAAGGACCAGGGGTCTCATTTATTAAACTTTGCAAGGAAACCTTCCTAAAAGCAGAAATATTTTTAATGTATTTGTTAATCATTATGGCTCATTTAAAATGGTTCAGTTAAGTAAATGTTTAAGTTAAATATGCTTACTAAAAGTTTACTTACAGCTGTGCACATTCTAGCATCAACGTTTTTTATAGATTTATATACTTGATTTTGTTCAGAAATAATGTTCTATAAACAAAGCAGCAACCTCCTAGTCTCCCTTGTGAAGACAAAAACAGAAATGACTAAAACTGCAATACATCGAATGGCCACCTGAGACTTGCTCCAAAAAGGAGTAGAGCCCATAGACCAGTGGTCCTCAAAGTGAGGGTCACACAACAATGGGTGGAGGGGTGACTTGTTGATTTTCAAAAATCAAATAAACTTTATTAGAGTTACCAGATCTTGTCCATAACTAAAAAGTAGTGAACACATAATTAATAATTACTTATTGTAAAAATCAACAACATGCAAATAAAATATCACCAGCTTTTTTTTTTTTTCTATTGGATTGTGACCCTGGGGTGATTACGTTGGATTCTTGACACAACAATAACGTCAGTTGCAATATATCAATTTTAAAGCACCATGTTAAACTTTCCAACACCTTTTTGGCATTTGCATACCTTAAAAATATCTTTTGAGTGGTGTTCTCTTAAATTTGTTAGATTTTTCATTTATTTATTGATAATTTAGGCTTATATGATGATTTAAAATGGTATGGTTAAGTAAAAAATAAATTACAAATTTATTTGTTTATAAATTACAAATTAGTTTTGCGTGGGAATTTTTTTGATATATACACTGTTAAAAAAAAGTACGTTATTTTACCTCTTTTTTTCTGACAGCTGGGGTGCTGGAACATAAAATAATGGCCGTTAAATTACATATATTTACCGTAAAATAACAGATGTTAAATTACAGAAATGTCCTTAAATTTAAATTTCCGGTAAATTACACAAATTACAGAAAATTCTTAATTTAACGATCTGTAATTTAACGTCTGTTATTTTACGATAAATATATGTAATTTAACAGCCGTTATTTAAAAAAAAAAACTTTTCTGGCACCCCAGCTGCCGAAAAAAAAAGTAAAACAACAGATTTTTTTTTTTTTTTTTTTTTGCAGTGTATATATGTTTCCACCCTAATTTGGGATCATCAAGTGCCAGAGTACTACAAAAAAATATCTAGAGGTATCTCAAAGTTGTTTATATATATATATATATATATATATATATATATATTTTTTTTTTTTTTTTTTTTTTTTTTTTGATCAGTGTTCTTTTCATTTTTCAAATTTCTCATTTAATCTGTGTAAATCATTTAATATATATGTAATATATAAAATAATGATTAAAAAAGACTCTTTTTCCGCCAGGTAGGAATACTTCAAAAAGGACTAAGAAATGACATTGAAATATAGGAAATTGTAGATTGTTTTCTAATTTTTGTCTCCACTAAGCTTGTATTGCGTACATAACACTTATACTTATACTGTACTTGTACTCTAATTATGCCCACTCTTTAGTTCTGTATTTTTCCTTTTCATCATTTTCACAAAAGTCTGTTTTTCGTCTTTTGCAGTCCAGCCACACATTACTAAGCTAAGGAACGTGACAGCTGTGGAGGGCAGCGCTGCTATGATCTCCTGCAAAGCTGAGGGGGAACCTTTACCTGAAATCTCCTGGAGGAGAGCAAGCGATGGACACAGCTTCTCAGATGGAGATAAGGTACAATATGATTTTTAGTTTTAGTAAATAATACATTTATAAAATTGAGGTAGGTATAAAGCATTAAAATGTGTTTTATTTTACAAGATGTGTAATACTTTTATAAGTTTAATACCCAGAGGTTACCAGAGTGAATCTGTGAAAGTTAAGCTCAAAATAGCTCACTGATCTTTTATTATAACATGCTGTAAATGCCACATAATGAGGGGAAGCAAAAATGTTCTCTTTTCATTTCTTCGCTCTTTTAATGTGAATTTTCAGAATTTCCATCTGTGTCTTTAAATCTGTGCCTTTACAGCTTGTACCGCTGTTACTCAAACAACCACAAACAAAATATGTTTTGAAGTCTTGTCAGTTTAAACTCCTGAAATATGGTTTTCTGAACACAAGTACATAAAGCGTGTACTCAGAAAGCTGACTTTCAGATGGCGTGTTACGTGAGAGTTATCTGAAGTTTTTTTTTTTTTTTTTGCTTACAAGGTGATGTAAAAAGAGCTCACATAATGTTGGCTATTTTTGTAATTCATCAATCTGTGTATCATCAAATATCTGCAAAGCAGCATCTCTTTTACATGGCAACAGCACAGGCTTGTCTTGTATTTCTTGGGCAGTTATTATTTTATATATTAAGACATTGTGATGTGTACATTCCTGTACAAACACTCAAGATTAAAGTTGAGGTATTTTAAGAGTGCTTGTAAACAGTGTTTGCCGATAGAGACGTGTACTTTTTGCTTTGAAACTTTCCAGATCTTTTTTTTTCATTATCAAAAAGCAACATTACACACTGAAGGCACAAGCTGAATGTGTAAAAACATAATATGGTATTTTTAATGTTCTGAAAAGAAGTCACTTATGTTCGTCAAGGCTGCATTTCTGTTGTAACATTGTTAATGTTTTTACTGTCACTTTTGATCTATTGAGTGCATCCTTGCTGAGTTTTCGTCCTTCAGTGCATCCTTGCTCGCTTTCTGTCATCTCTGTCTGTGCGAACGTCTTTCTGAAATGGATTTTTTATGACAAGAGCAGACACAAATTTTGTATATTCTCCAGCAAGTCACATAAAAGCACACTTTCACAACTTTTAAAGTTTAAGACCAATTTTTGAAGGGATAGTTGAACAAAATGAACACTTTACTCACCATTTACCATTTCAAATACCATTATAAATACCTTTATATTTATTTATTTTCCTGCTGAGCGCAAAATAAGATTATTTGAAAAATTTGGGATATACAGTAGGTGAGAGTTCAAAGTGACTATTACCGCCGGGCTTTATACCGCCGCTGTTTGAAATAACTGCCGCTCTGTTTTTTAGTATATGACCGCAGCTTTTGAATAAGCCGCCAGGGGGCGCAAAGGGACGGGATGCGAACGGACAGAAATAGCCTTCACAGCAGCTTTAAATACGCTACTGTGCTTGTAAATGAGATTAAACAATAAGTCAAAGCATTACAATTCCTTCATTAATCATTTAAAATTTGTTAACACACTTTATTATAAACTTTTTAAGTGCAAAGAGGACTAGTTTTGGAAAATAGAATTGAAGAAATAAAAGACAACTAACATGAAAGCACAAACATTCAGTACAAATAAGTAGTCTTAAATAAATAAATAAATAAAGCAGTCTTTTAGCCTAAACATAGAGAGATGTTCAGTGTTTGCTATTTTGATAGGACTAAGACAAGACTTTTTCATTTATGTTTTTATTTCTGTTTTTATTTTAATTTTCATTGTTGATTATATTTTACTATCTTATTTTATGTCTCAACAATTGTACATAATAATAAATGAATAATGAAAATAAATTAATAATGAAAATAGGCCTAAATAAATAATTGATTTAAAGATATTGCGGCGAAACACTGAGAAACGGTCAGGTGCATGGTCTAAAGAGCTTAAGTTGAATGCTGCTTCATCAAAAGCAAAAAAATAAATAAATTGACCTACCTTAAAGAGATCACTGAAAGTATAGTAAAACTAATTTTGCCGCAGGACATAACATAAATTAAGTCTCGCAGGTTTATTTTTAATAATTTAGTTTCAGTTCACTTTTTTTTTTCAAAACGTCAATGTTCTCCTTTAAAGAAGCTATAACTGTTGTTTTGTTTTTTAATTAATGGCTCAGTATGTTTTGTATTTTAATTTCAATTTCAGTCACCTTGCATATGCGTGTGAAATATAATGTCGCATAACCGCGGAAAAAGAAGAAAAAGCTGTCATTAGCAGTAATGACGATACAGATTAGGAAAAATAACTACAGATTTTCAACATTTTTATAATTTTTTTATTTTATTTTATTTATTCATTTTTTGCCCACCAAATGATTTCAGTTTTTTTATCACTTTAATGTACAAGGCAACACGGTGGCTCAGCACTGTCACCTCACAGCAAAAAGGTTGCTGCTTTGAGTCCCGGCTGGGTCAGTTGGCATTTCTGTGTGGAGTTTGAATATTCTCCCCATGTTTGTGTGGTTTTCTTCTGGGTGCTCCAGTTTCCCCCACTGTCCAAACACATGTGCTATAGGTGAATTGGATAAACTAAATTGGCCGTAGTGTATATTTGTGTGCATATAAGAGGATGTTTACCAGTACTGGGTTGCAGCTGGAAAGCCATCTGCTGTGTAAAACATTTGCTGGATATGCTGGCGGTTCACTCCGGTGTGGTGCCCTTAATTAATATACAGGAAGTAAACTGAAGGAAAATGAAGGAATACATTTTAATGTACTTACTAGTGGATAGCAACAGGTACACATGATTTTGTTGCTATGATCTGTCAGATCACAGGGTCAATTGGTCAGCCTTTGTTTACTTTTAGTATTATAGTAGTTTCATTATGGTTGCACCTAACAAATAAGACTTGTTTATTTTTGTGTTAACTTGTTCATATTTTATGTTCAATTGTATAAGGAAAGTTCAGATAGAAAGGCACACTATAGTTCAATCACAAATTAATTCAAGCATACTTTAGTGACATATAGAAACCTACACCCAGTCAGTTTAAAAAAGTTCAACGATGCCCCTCTGTCCTCCATTTAGGGCATTTTCCTCTTGCGGTGCTCGAGCAAAGCTAGCAGTATTGTGAAAGATTCTACATCCCTGCCACAGGAAGATGCTGCCATCAGGAAGAAGGTTTCAAAGTTTTAGAACCTGCTTGACTACTCAACAGCTCCTTCCCACAGCCTGCTAGAGCCCTCAATTACAGTCAGTTTACTCACTTTGAAATCTCATACCCACCAAACCCAAATGTCATGTGCAGTGGATAGGCGGCTTTATACTCAGTGGTTTGTACTCGTACCCGCACTACAACAGTTCTGGACTCTGCTTTTATTCAGCACATTGCCTTACACCAAAGATATATACACTAGATATCCCATATGGACCCTGAGCATGCGTCAATAGCGCCGCCACATTTGTATAGTGCTCCCTGGAAAAAAGTCATTCAACCGCACTAGTCAAGATTAAAGCCAATCTGAAGATGCTGGACTTTAGCGATGTGTATGGGTGTAGTAACGAGCAAACAAAGAAAACAAAGCACAGAAGCAAAGCATTTCGAACAGTAAGATTCAATTTTTTACAATTTTTTTTTTGTATGTTGTGCTCAACAAGTAACGTTATTGATGATATTACAGTCATTTACTGCACTGACCATGAAGCAAAGTAGCACCTTATGCTAGTTTTTTTTAATAAAATAAGGAAACAATGTGAATTAAATATGACAACAAGACGCTGTGGTGCCAAAAACTTCTATTATTGTCATCTAAGTGAACGAGTCATTCATAACAGGGATTTATTCACAAACGAATTGCACCCTCTGTTAGAATAAGAAGTGAAAGCAGGAGAGGGTGTGTTTCAGGACACAGATTAGATCCAATTTAACAAGGAGGGAGGATAGTATTGTACATTTCCATGCACACAAACACACTCTTTGTTGGCAATGCCTGTGCGGTCACTTATCCATTGTAGAAAAGTGATGTAAAATTATAACTTCCGTAATTTAAAAAAAATATTTGTATACTGACCACCGGGAAAACTCCCGATCATAGATTTATGTATATATGTGTATATATCTTTGGCTCTGGATGGCCAGTCCCCCACTACACTTTGGTCCTGGATTAATTTCAAAGAAGTGCCACCCTGTAATAAAATGGCGGCTCTATTGATGCATTCCTTCCATTAGACAACAAGGTAGGTGACATCTACTGTAATGTAAATATCTATGGCGTTACGCCATATCATGCCACCTCTTCAGCTCTCCTCTTTCTTCCACATCTGGCCTTACGCCGCTTCACTCACATCACGTTGCTCTCTCTCTCTGACACTGCTGACTTTAACTACAACTATCCTCCTTTATATTTTCACCTGTTTCCTTTTTGACATCCAATGGGTGAAGACCAAATAAACATTTTCCAACAGCCTTGACTATTGTCACGAATTCTGAGTCAACCATCATCATGTATAATCTAAGTATAACCCATAATCATGTGTTAGTTAATTATTTTTAAAGTAATTTCATTCAACTTTTGAATACATTTATTTAAAATAGTTGAAATAAACCGTGCAAACTATGAACACATCTCAATTTTTTTTTTATAGTGTGGAATAAGTCCAACATATACAGTATGTAGTGTATTGGCTGGTTTCCAACCGTTATTTGCAGGTTGTCCTCTGTCAGAAAATAATGCACCATTTTACCAGCACATTAACTGCCTGATATGTGTAACGTTCGGTCTTTGCTCACACCCACTGTTATAGTCATGGACGTTAGAGGATATAATAGACTAGCATGCAGAGGCACAGCCCTGAGGCAGGCTCAGCCTGTGTACCAGTTGAAGGCTAAGGGAGGCTTTCTGCACTCCAATAATGCTCTGTATTTCCTACTGGCATGCTCTGTGTCTGTGCTGAATGCGAATGCGTTCGCAGTGGCCAGGCGGGAAAGATGATGGGAACAGAAACTGTCAAAGATCATTAGAATTCTGTGAAAGGTGGGTTGTTGGCAT